GGGCTCAGGAACTTGGAGCTTCTGGGAAGCAATAGGTCTATCTTGCTTCTCTGGGTTCCTAAATGGTTGACCCACATGAAGGATTCATGATGGTTAGTGTGACAGAGTCAGGAATTGACAAGGCTATAGCCTTTATTCTGGGGACCCTCTGCCTTCACTCTGAGTGGGGAGGGAGGCACAGAGGAATTAATGGGATTTCAGTGCCATCACTGCACTTTGCCCACAGTGGAGTCCTTAGGGTGTGTGCCAGTAATAATAGAGAAAGGAGAGTCCCCTGGCAAACCTGAGGTTGTCATACTTTACGTCACAGCCACTAACAGGGCTGAGGCACCAAGTGCTGCTCTCTTCCAGTGACTCCTAAGATTTCTGACTTCCCAGCTGCGGGTGGCACACAGGTCTCCAGGTCAGCCTGAGGGCTATTAGAGCTTGAGGACCTAGGCAGAGACTGCCTCTTCCTGGCAGCTCTGGGTGTCCTGGGCTGTCAGTGAGGATGGCTTTGTGAATCTGGTGACTGTATTCTGCCCCTGTATGGCTTCTCCATTAACATGAGAGTTTGAAGCATCAAGCAGGTAACTGGGCATCCCTACACTACCTGAGTGCTTGTGACAGTAGCAATCATCTCCCAGCTTCTGAAAGCACATGGCTGAGGGCTCTGAAGCCAATGTGCATCCCCTGCAGCCTTAGGAGGTTGTTCCCTTGGTCAACTTGTGCAGGGAGACAGAGGAAAGCAGGTACCTTCTGAGACATCCACTTCCCTATAGAGAGATGGAAGAATTGACATTTACAGAGGGGGAGACTCAAGTCGGGTTTTTCACAACCTGTTGGACAAAGTCTCATGTATCAGTCACTTCCTGAGCATCCTTCAGTGTGTCAGGTTTGAGTGAGATGGGGTAGTGTGTAGGGCAGGTGCTGTCCTTTGACTTATAGAATTGTGTATTACTGAGGGCAAAGGATCCCAATCATCTCCCCTTTTTTGTCCCTTGCCTGCCCTTCTCATGCTCCGATGACTATTGTAGTTTAAGCTGGCTGTTCCCCCTTCCTAAGGGCATGTGCATTGTCACAGATGGCTCCAGATTAAGGAATTTGGCTTTTGTGTAGCTCTAGGTGAAGCATCACAGCAGTGACACACTACATACTCTCCTCATGACTGGCAAACTTGATTTTCTGAAAATGCCTTTGTATATCTGTGTGTGGCCTCTCAATAGCCATTCATCTTTCCTCAAATTCAAGTGCAGGAATGGACCATCACTCTTCATGGGAGTGTTTGCTCTTGTGTTGAGGGCTTACCTGGGGAGTGTAGCTGGAGAGTTTCTTTCCAGCTCCTGCCAAGCCCTGGCAGTCCCACACCCCACTTATAAAATAAACACACAGACTCTTACATTATTTAAACTGTTTAGCCTAATGGTTCAGGCTTCTAGCTATCTAGTTTTTACATCTTGAATTAACCCATTTCTATAAATTTATACCTTGCCACATGGCTCGTGGCTTACCAGTATCTTACATGTTGGTACTCATGGCGGTGGCTGGCAGCATCTCCTGACTCAGCCTTCCCGTTCCCAGAATTCTCTGCTCTGCTTGTCCCGCTTATACTTCCTGCCTGGCTACTAGCCAATCAGGATTTTATTTATACAGAGCAATATCCGCAGCACTTCCCCTTTTCTTTTTTTTCAAAAAGGAAGGTTTTAACTTTCACATAGTAAAATTACATATAACAAAACAACTATCAAGCAAGAATTACAGTTAAAATATTTAGTCTATTTACAATATCTAGTCTATTTGTATTTGGCAAAATTAAAGAAGATACCTATCTATCCTATATTTGTGAGTCTAAAGTTTCATATCTAACTCATCTTTTATCATAACTAAGGAAAATTATAACTATCTAGTCTTCAACTACATTGAAGACCTCAGAAGGATTTAATATTAGCTGAGAAATGGGGCACGGACGCAAGCAATATTTCGAGAGTCCCCAGTTCTTAGTACATCCAGCCTGACCTGTCTCTACTTGATCGCAGTTTGCTAACTTATGATAGCTGAAATGTATTCTTCTGAAATTTTGGGGTAATTTTCATCACCTATTGGACTTAAGTTTGTTCTGACAGGACGCTCACGATCTCCCACCACACCAACGTATTGTAACAGCCTTGTGGATCCTCCACAATGTTCTTGTCTTCAGGGGACTGAACTTTCCTCCTACCATCCTTATGTAATTACCTAGAAATCTTTATTTCTCATGTTATTGACTAGAAATCTCAAGAAGGGGTTGAGCCATTTCCTGGGATGTGTTTGGTTTGAGTCTTCAACTTCCCACATATGAAGTAGTGAATATATTCTAAAGAAGGATAGATTTCTGGCTTCGTAATGAGGAGGCAATGATGGTCTTCCCTTGTGTTTCTGGGAAGGCTCTTGGGAAGGGTAGTATGGCTTCCAGTGATTTGCAGAAGTCTTGTCAGTAGGTGGATGAAGACTGCTGGTGGTGACCTTAATAGTCCCTGCTCTGGACAAACTATTGTATTCTGGAGAGCCCTTGGTATTCTCTGTGATGTCACCAGTGTGGTGGGAACATCAAGTGACTGTGGGGTATTCTTTCATTGCCCATAGACACGTTGCCAAGACTGAGCTGGTTGTCTGGGAGACAAAATGGAGAACATGGCGAGGCCTGAGAGAGGCAGAAGGAAGCTGGGCTTTGGTTTCAGTGTAAAATATGGAGAAATCAATGGTTTGGGGGAAGGCACAGTGCGTCCTGAGCAGGGGATGGGGAACTTCCTAGAGGAGCTTGAGCTGGGCCTTCCAGTAGTGGGACTCAGCATCTGGGAGCTTCTGGGAAGCAATGGGCTTATCCTGTTTCTCTGGGTTCCCTTAAGAGCAGGCCCAGAGCAAGCAGTTTGTGATGGTTAGTTTGAGAGAACCACGGATTGTCAAGTCTGCAGCTGCTTTTCTGGGATCCTTCATCTCACTGTGAGTGGAAAGGGAGGACAGCAGGAGCAAAGGAGTGACTAATTAGGCATCGCTGTCAGGGTAGGGTGTTGCTGCACTTCATCCTCATGGACTCCTTCAGTTTCCATGGGAATCTGATGCCAATAAGAAGGGAGGGAAACTCCCCTGGCCATGCGCCAAAGTCTCAGACATTCAGATGCTTTGGTCCTGGGCACATGTGATCATGTTTGGTGCTGCTAAGCTCTAGGGACAAGAGGACTTACCTGCATCACATCAGATACGAGGTGACACTGTCTTCCAAATCTACATGTTGGAGATAACTTATGCCTTCCAGGGCTAGGGTATTGCATTAGGGACAGAAGCACATTCCTAGCCATGGTGGTTGACGACAGAGACATAGCTCATGGACATCAGTTTGAGGATAGCTGCCCTGCTCTTTGGGGCCTTCACTGGGTCTCTAGCATTTCCTCTTCTTCGGGCTTCCTTTTGGGACTCAGCATGGATTCTCCTGGCTCTATGTAATTCAAGTATACAAGTTCACATGTCTTTATCTACCTGCAGGGACCACTGGGGAGGCACCATCCCAACTCTCCACCTTCACTGAGCAGGAGCAGGAAATGAACGATGTGGAGAAACTCATCTTTCAGCTACAGAGTATGACATATGAGCGAACTGAGCTCTATGGAATCTTGGACACTTACACCAACATGGATTTGAAGAACAGGTAGTCATTATGCCCAGTTCTCTGCTGACCATCTTGACCCCACAGTGTCAAGCCAAGCTTTCCTGAGGTACAGGAGGCAGAACCTCCAGGGTGTCCTGGTGCCTAAACTAATTTTCCTGAGTGCATCAGAGAGGCAGAACTTGGAACCTGGGTAGATGTGAGAAGGGAACACAGGATCTTCTCCTTCTTCCAAATGAAAAGCAGAGCCTGTGACCTAAATCACAGTCTGGGGACAGGGATAGTAGGGTGTAGCTCTCAACATGCATTTCAAGAGGCCTTAATAGGTATTGGCTTCTGGGACATGCTAGGTGCTGTGAGTTTGTGGTGAGTCTTTGTACTTGATGATTCTGTGCAGAAAGCTCCAGTCAGCAGCTGGAGGAACCTGGTCCCATTGATCAATCTCAGTTTGTGGCTGGAAGGCCTAAAGATCATCACAGCTCCTCTCTGGTCTTCTTCCTCATAATCTGAGATAGTGCCACCTCCCTGTATTTCATGGGCATCATAATTGTATGTGGAGGTAGAGGACATGTGGGTGTGTGGGTGTGTACTCCTAGGAGTCTGGGGTCTGTGACAGGGCCTGAGGATTTCCCATTCTCACAGTTTCCAGGGGATGACAGTGCTGAGGCCAGGGACCCCCACTTTGAGCAGCAAATCTCCTGGCCACTGTGCGCACCTTGGTGGAACATTGGAATCCCCTGTGGAGTCTATAAAGCCTTCTTGACGTTGGGACTTCTCCCTGGATATATTGATTGTGTTCTCTGGTTCTCACTGTAGTAATAGTCACCCAGGAATGAGAATCCTGTTTTGAAGACAAGAGAAATGTCATCATAGGTTCCTGGTGGGCCCAGATATGTGGCATGGACTCCTGGGAACTTCTTAGAGAGCTAATCTCCAAGCCAACTTAGAGTGCTCATGCAGCCCTGACTCCCTCCCTTTGGACCACCTGCCTCTTCTGGCCTGGGGACAGGATAGGAAGTTTAATAAGCACCAGAAGGTCCCAGCGTAATAGGTACCAGGCTGTGGCATCCACTGGGCTGGGGTAGGCCAGGACACAGCCGGATTTCATATGATCCTTGAGTCCTGTGTTCATGGAGTTCTTTTTTTTTTTTTTTTTTTTTTAAAGATTTATTTACTTATTGTGTATACAGCATGTATGACTGCAGGCCAGAAGAGGGCACCAGATCTCATTATAGATGGTTGTGAGCCACCATGTGGGTGCTGGGGATTGAACTCAGGACCTCTGGAAGAGCAGTCAGTGCTCTTAACCTCTGAGCCATCTCTCCAGCCCTCATGGAGTTCTTTTCCCCTGGGGCCATGCCCTACCACAGGATGGATTCTCTGGAGATGCTGAAAAAGGAGCATAAGCAGGTGATGTCGGACCTGCAGAAATTGCCTGTGGAGATCATTGATGCCTTGAACAGGTGCAAGCGGCTGGTTAAAGAGAAAGAATCCTACAGGTACATGGCTGCTTTAGCTTGGGAGGGACTGATTGTGCCCTCTGTGTCTTTGACTCAAAGTGAGGGCTCTGGTTCTAGCCTGTCTGCCTCTTAGCAAGCAGCGTCCTTGTGGGCCTTGGACTTGTGCCTCCTGGACTCAGTTTTGGTAAGTGTGAAAAGAGCCCCTCCCAGTGATGTTCTGCCAGTCTCAGGAGCCCCTAGATAGAAAAATGGTTTGCACCAAGAAGGGAGTGTCAGGCAGATGAAGTGTTAGGCATCCCAGGGCCCCTGGGGCTCTGGCAGGGACTTCCTAGAGCTTGTTGCCATGGGACCCATAGACAGACTTTATTCCAATAGGGACTTCTGCCCTCCTTCAGAGAGGGTTTGCCCTCTACCTGCTGCTGCTTTCCCAGTACCATGAGCAGTTAAGCACAGGTGCTGGCTGCATTGTGTTCTCAGGGGCACAGGATCACTTTTGGTGCCAGGATTTTCAGAAGCACTTTGAATCTTTCTGGGGTTATTTATTCTCTCAATTTGGCTTGCCACTGTGTGACGCTGTCTTGGCTGCTGTGAGATCCAATCCTGGGCTGTCTGGGGGCCTGGGACTTTTCAGGGCTGGTGGTACTTGGAGGTAGGGATGGCTGATGGTACTTGGAGCTGGATGGGGCTCACCCTTTTTGGTTGGCGGGTTTGTTATCTCCACAGCCTGAAACTCCGAGATTTGGCTCAGCTGAAAAGAAATGTACGTGAGTTGAGGCTGGAGAACAGAAAGCTGTGGGAGGAGCAGGTTGCGCTTCAGGAGTCCTGTGAGGAGGCGAGGAAGCTCTTGAAGGAGGCCCATGATAAGATCTGTGACCCCTGTGCTGAGCAACAGCAGGTAGGCTTTGGCAGCAGGGCCAGGCTGCCCACCTGTCCAACCATAATCATGGAGACACCCATGCAGCCATCCACTCACCCATCTAGACTCTCACCTACATACCATCCAATTGTTCATTTCTGTGATCATTCACAACCCCTCCTGCTCCGCTAGCAGCTGCAGTTCATTGAGGGAGATGGGTCAGTTACACATCACACACCTACATGTCTTTGTAGTCAGAGGGCTGCTATGCAGGCAGCTACTTAGGGAATAGCACAAAGCTTACTTTCATTGATGACATCGGCGGCCTGTGGCTCATTTGCTTTGCAGGGGTCATGTGAGATCGAATGTAGGAAGCAGCTTGCAAGGACTAGAGCCCAGTGCCAATGCCGAGTGAGTGGTTCTCACTGTCAAATTTTGAGTAGGGGTCACGTGGCCTGCTCCTTTTTTTCCTGTTTCCTAACGTGGTCTCTTCTATTTCCTCAACTTTTGGTTCCCATTGACAGAAGCCTGAGTATCAGCTTGTCAGCCCTGTTTCCTGTGGGTGATGCTGGACAGTTCTCCCATCGTGGAGCTTCCAGTCTGGAGCTGACTCAATGACCATTGATGTGGGAGGACTTGACAGGCTGAGGGTTGGGGTGGCAGGTTTGAGGCTTCAAGAGAACATTTTTTCCAACCACCCAAACATAGTTTGACTAAGCTGTGTGTTCCCCTAGGAATTTTTAGTCCCCAAGGGATGGATAGCATTTGTGGTTCTCAGCTGATGTGCATAGTCTAAATTCAACTGTTCATTCAGCATGATGTCCTCTTCAATTTTTCTGCTCACTTAGGATTTCTGTGGTCTCTCCATGGTGTATGCATGTGTGTGTAGATGTGTACATTGCTGGGTGTGTTTGTAGACCAGATGATGTCATCTGGTGTTGTCCTCTGTTGCTCACTCCCTTATTCCCTTGAGCCCAGGTCTTGACTGAACCTGAAATTTTCTAGTTTGGTTAATCTGGCTGGCCAGCACTCCGGATTTCCTGTGCTCTCCAAGGTGGATCTTCTGTTGTTTTGTCTCTTCTAATTGTTACAAGTTTCAGTAGCTCAGAAAGAGGAAGGATGGAGTAGCTCTCTCTTCATTTCACACATGTTTATTGTTTTGGAGTTAATGTGTTTTGTAATAAATAACAAAAAATCAAACTGTACAGCAATTTTAAACATGAAAGGCAGACTTCTTCCCTTTCACTGCACCAAGCTAACACGACGGGAAATGTCTGGTTTGTCTCGTCTCTGGCTTCACAACACGGAATCCCACAGTGCATCTCCTTGCTGACATTGTGTTGCTGACTATATCATGTGCATGGCTGTGTCTTAGAACAAATTCCCTCTCATAGTTGTGCAGAGCGCTACGTTCCTGAAAAGTACTGCAGGTGACGTCACTAGCCTCCTTCTGAGTGACATTGGGGCTAAATTCATCTTCTATGCACTGTAACCCATTGAAAACATCCTGGGTGTTGACCATGGGTCATTTTCTTTCTCTTGAGCTAATAAGTCTTCTGTGGAGGAGCCAGGGGAGGTTTAGTGAAGAGACTGTGATGGGTCAACTTGGCCCGTGGGATCAGTGAGTCTCAGGGTGGATAAAGTTCACGGAAGGAAAAGTAAGCACAGGCCAGGGTAGCAGAGCCCGGCTGAGTTTAAGAGCCTTGTAGGGAGGACCCACTACCTCCTGTTGCAGCAGAAAAGGTTATGAAAGGCAGCTGTCTTCTCCTTGGCCATTCTGGGTTCAGAAGTGTGTGTGTGTGTGTGTGTGTGTGTGTGTGTGTGTGTGTGTGTGTGTGTGTGTGTATGTGTGTGTGTGGTGCATTTCTTTTCATATGAGTGTGTACCTCTATTAGTGTTGGTGTGTGTCTCCTGCCTCTTATTTGCACAGTAGTGTCCCTTTGTGTGTGTGTGTGTGTGTGTGTGTGTGTGTGTGTGTGTGTGCCCATGTGTGGTTGAGTGTGGTTTTCTGTGCCCATGTTTCCTGTATGTGTAGAGATAAGTGCTTGTGTGGGTATTTGTGAGTACCTGTGCATATATGGGCAAGTATGTGTTTGTGTGTAGTGATGTGTTCACTTTTGTGTGCGTGTGTATTTCTGCATTTCTGTCTGTTCACTTACCCATGAAACATCTTTACTGATGATGGATTCCAACTTTATTGAGAAGTACTGTGCCCACTCACTTAGCCTCCATCGAATATTGTATGTTGGTGCCCATCTTCCTACATGTCCACCTTGCAGTCTGGAACAAAAGGATACAAAAACTACTGTAACTCAATAGTTTTCGGGTATTTGCAGAGGGAAAAATATTTGTCTGCAAGAAAGGTCTTTGGAGCAAACCAGAGGAATGTGGTACAGGAAGGTGAGGAGGAGGCCACTGTGGCAAAACAAGGTGTCTGAGAGGCAGGATAGGCTGGCTGAGGGTGTGTGTCCCTTCTCTGCTCTGGGTGAATGGTGAGCACACTCAGTGGTCAGGTGGCTCCCTGAGTCTTCTCTGTCTTGTTCTCCCCCACATTGCCTGCCACCACTTGCTTTCCCCCTTTGCCTAACCTTGGACGGTTAACCTTGGCCTTGAAGCTTGGACTGGATTTTATTCGTTGAGAGATTCTGACTTGGAGTGTGCTTCCAGCTGCATCTCGGCCCATCAGACGGTCCCTAGCCATGCGGTGGTGTGAGAATGGGGCTGTCCGAGGGCACACCTTTAGGCACACGATGGTCTGAAGCATTCACCATGGGTTGTATCTGTAGCACTCAGTAACTGCTTTTCTACAAAGTCGTTCACTCTGAGTTCAAATCAGCTTCACAGAGGGCTGGGAGAAATGAGGCCCCTCAGACATTGCTGGTGGTGTAAAATGATATTGCACAGTGAGAAGGCACACACAGTTCTTCAGATAGTTAGACTGCAGTCCCCAGGTGACCCAGGGACTCCAGAACATGAAGTAGGTGTCCACAGAGAAGTTAGGGCATGGAAGCACTATAGCAGCATTCCTCAGAGTAGCCTCAAAGTAGAAACCATCCAGATGTCCATCATTTGATGAGTGAAAAAGTACAATGTGGATGAGCTTTGCCATGGAATAGTGTTCAGTATGAAATAATACATGCAATTATTTGGCTCTGACTTAGCCTTTGGTTACTCAAACAAATCCCCAACAAATTACCTTACAGGGAGGAATTGTTGATTTTTGACTCCAGGTTGTGGAGATTTTCTAGTTTCCTGAGCTCATTGCTTTGGGACCAAAGTGAGGTAGCTTATGGTAAAAGGAGCTCCATTTGGAGAAAGTTGTTCACCTTGGGGGCAGCTGGGAAGCAGTGAACAAGACCAGCGGACTGGTCCACCACATCCAGTGGTCCTGTGCTGTGGAACATTCCTATACTGCACATCCTGAGAAGCTTCCTAAGCAGGGCTGGCTAATGGGCCAGGACCCCAGAGGTCCACCTGTCTGTGCGTTAGGTTTACAGGATAAGCACTGAGCTGCCTATCTCTCATGCCCACTGTATTCTTCTCCCATCCAGCAAAAGTTAACCTTCTTCTCAATAGTATCCCGGTGATTGCTCCTTATATTAGCATTAACTGGGAAACTAAACATGTTACTGCCTTACACCGTGCTTGTATGTGTGCATCCATGTACTTGTGCATGTTCATGAGTTTACGTGTGTGCGTGTGAGTGTGCAACCCTCTACTGAGAATACGACCTTCTAATGAACAGGAGCAAGAGAGCCTGGATGAAAGACTGAAGGACCTGCTGAAGCAGAAGGAGCCGGTCCCCCAGCAAGGGGACTTGGCAGACAAGCTGCACTGTCACTTCTATATCTCTGAGAAGAGGTAGGAGCCCAAGCTGGGAGGAGCAGTAAGAGCCATGTAGGTCACCTGTACCTGGATCTCTGTCCTTTATGGGATTCTCACCATCTGGATGACTCTCTGTCACGGCCAGGAGAAGAACAGCCCAGGGGATTGTGCTGGCCCAGTCAACAAGAACTTCTCCAGGAAACACTGTGTTTGAGCCTTAATGTTCCTGGGGTTTGTCTACCCCTTATTCCCTTCTGAGCTCTCTGGTATCTCCTCAGTGCCTTGTCCCCCGTGTCTCCTCACAAATTTCCCTATGGTAGTCCTCAACGTAGCCGAAGGAGGGTTTGTTGTGGAGGGCAGTGTGTGCTCCTGCCTCTTTATTATCCTTCCAGTACATCTTCTTTAGAGAGAAGTTCTACCTTTGGGGCAGATCTGCATGCAGCACACTCCTGCTGATTACAGGCTCTCTGCAGTGGGCATCTGTTTCCTGTGAAAAGATTTTTTCTGCTACAAGAAGATTTGGGGGTTAAGGAGTTGAACCCAGGCAGGTTTCTGTGCTGTAGGAGTAATTAGAACCTTCACTGCTTTTATTTTGTAGGCTCCCTTAGAAGATCTTAGAAGGTCTAAACATTCGCTTTCCCACGTTGCTCACATTCACCTGGGATCTAATCAGGGCCATGCATATCAGTCCTGAACTGTTACACAGATATTGCTACATTGTTATATTTTTTTTCAAAACAATGTATCTGGACAAGTGGAGAAATGGGCTGAATTTTTTGCCCCCCCCCCCCAGAGGGTAGTTCTCAGTTCATCTTCTAGGAGATTTTTAAAAGCTGAGAAAAAAATCCATGCCCAGGTGCACTCTGACGCTTCTCCCTTGGGAAATGCAGGGAATGACCTCAGCTGAAAGGTCATGCTGGATTGTCCAGCTGACTAGAGCTGGTTCAGGCTCAACAGCTGACAGCAGGTCCCCACCAGGCCTGTTCCCTAACTGCCTTCCTCCTCTAGGTCAGACAGTCTCCCGTCTGAGTTGGAACAGGCCACAGCCCAGGAGGACAGTCTCCTGCAGACAGAGCTGCTGCAGGAGCCCTAAGTCTCACAGGCAAGTGAGCCACCATTGCATCCCATCCCCAGCAAACATGGCATTGGTTAGGGGTTTGGGAGCTCTTGACCTTGGCTTGCAGTGGGAATAGGCCCTGATTTTTTCTAGCCTGTGGTCCAGCCAGTCTGTTTCTGGGTCTGATTTCCTTTCCTTCTCACATAGCAGATCTTGAGAGACCTGAGGAGGCCAAAGAAGCCACAGACACCTTGAACAGATGACATTCTACACCTTCAGATCAAGGCCTCCTCAGAAGAAAACACCCCCTTTATAGCTGTGAACTCACTAGTGAGGCATATACCAGCTGACCTCCAGGTGATCCAGGCCCAATCAGATCCATGGGTCTCCTGACCCAGTACTCCTGAAGAAAAGAAAGCATCACAAATGAGCTGGAGATACAGAAAAGCTGAGACAAGAATTACTGAGAACCCTGACACTCAACAGAACGTGGTCCATGTAAGGAGTACAACATGGAAGGTAGAGAGGTTGGTGAGCAAGGCTTTTTCTTTCAGTTTAGTGTGGAAGGCCTTGACAGCTGATTGAGTCCTCAGCCCTCCCTAGGCAGAGTAGATCCATCACAGAAGATTGTTGATATCAAGCTGTTCCAGACAGGCCACACCCCAAAGCATCATATTTCGTTCTCCAGCCCAGCGGTTGAAGCTGACTCGATGTCATGTACAAGTGTTGCTGAACATGATGCCCTACAGAGATGGCGGCAGTCCCTCACTCCTCCTGTTAACCAAGTGTTGCTGAAAATGATGCCCTACAGAGATGGCGCCAGTCCCTCACTCTTCCTGTTAGCCATTTTTCCCTCCCTATGTAAAATGAGTGGGTATTCTTCAGCCTTCACTGAGGTGACTGGTCCTGAGAAAGGATTTATAGAAGACATCTGAGTCATCTTTGATGTTCTTGGGCAGTCAGATGCTGCCCACGGGTTTGTTGGGTCTCTAGGAAGCACACAAATGTATGCTGACTGGAACAATCAAACAGTGGGCAAAACATTACAGGATTGGCAGTGGGTGATAATTTATTAAAAGCTTCCCATAGGTTCACAAAGAGTGCTCTAGGATCATGTCTCTTCCTTAGTCTTTATGTGGGCTTGACCTCCAAAACCCCAAGGAAACATGGCCTTCCGACCCTGTTTTCAAGGTCAGCCACAGGCTGTAGGTCTGTGCCGCTCAATCTGTAGCAAGAGAAGGCTGCTTAGCTTAATTTTTATCGTTTGGTTTTGGGTTGGATTTTGTTTGCTTTGGGTTTTTGCTGTTCTTTGTTATGGTTTGAGGTTTGCTATTTATTTGTTCTTTCTTTTGTTCTTGTTGCTATTTTGGTATTTTGCTAAGGCTATTCGCTGCTTATAGTGACTGCTCCCTTTAAGCCCCTATTGAGTAAAATAACTGTATTGTTATTAATAAGAAAGTGATTTCCTACTCTCCTAGCTTAGAACCAATTTCCTTCATCAGGTGTGGTGTCTCATTCCAGTACCTCCAGAACCTCCTATAATACCAGAACCTCTTGTGCTTCCAGCTTGGGCTACATTGAGAGTTCCCAGCCTGTCTGGGCTACACATGGCTTTGGAATTGGATGGTGTTGCCAACTCTGTGGATATCCATTGCATGATGACAAAAAATATCTATCCTGTCTCCTTGTGGTCATATATTTAGCTATCCCTAAAAAATGGCATCCTGTATACATATTTCATGAAATGATCATGTACACAAAATTAATGAGAAACACACACAAGTATTGCTCTACAGCCTCTTAGGAAACGAAAACATTTACTAAGAAATCCATGACCTGCTTGCCACATAGGGCCATGATGATGTCTCTGCCTGGGCTGCTGCCAAGGGCAGTGTCCTGTCCATGGCCCTGACACAGCTGTGGGGTTGTCGTTGTTGATATGCCTGACTCCTCTCACCAGTGAGGGCCTTGCAGCCACCTGCAGTCTGGGCCACCAGCTGTGACCTTGTTGGTATCAAAGGGATATAGCCCCACAGGGGGCATGCGCGTCTTAGCCGCCTGTGCGGCCACCTAGGACCATAGTGACATCTGGGTTGGGACTTGCTGAGGGTCATGTCTGGGTCCATGGCTCTGCTGCAGACAGGGTCTGAGTTGATGTCTCAGCTCCTGTTGCCATCAAAGTCAGTGCAGATATCTGGAATCTGGCCACCACCTGGGGACAGGGTGCTGTTGGGTCCACACTAATCTGAGTGACCTCCACTGCCAACCATGGCCATGGTGACATCCAGGCTTGGGCTTCAGCCTGAGACCACATTGGGTTCATGTTGCAAACACAGCCCAGATCTATGTACATGTCCATGGCCTGTGTTGCCACCAAGGGCCACACAGAAGTGGGTGGGGATCTGGGCCATTACCTAGGACCATGTCAGTGTCTGAGGGCTGTGCTTCTGCTGATTCGAGTGGCCTCTGTTGACACCAGGGACCCTGGTGTCCCCTGGGCCTAGGCTGCTGTCAAAGGCCAAGTCTGGATCCATTGCCCTGCCACAGCCTTGGTCTATGTTGATGTCAGCGGCTCCTGTTACCACTGCAGACAGGATACGGATGCAAAGAGATAACCCTGCTCTAAGCTGGCTTTAGCACTAGGGGGGACTGGACCCACCCCCCACCAACTTCAGCACTGGGGAGAGTAGGTCCTGTACCTGGACTGAGCAGCACAGTAGAGCTGACCCTGTTGGTTGTGGTGCCTGTGAGCTGGTTCTGAAGGTGTGAGAGCAGAAGAACTGGGTCCACCTGCTTCTTCTGCCTTGTGTTGGAAAGGATAAGGGAAAGATGCCTGCCTCACCTGAGCAAATGCCACCTGCGGCTGGTGGGAGAGTTGGCCTCTGGGGCATGAGAACAGAAGAGCTGGGTCAGCCTCTCACCAGCTGCAGCAATTGGGATTGTGGGCCTGGCACATCACCTCGGCAAAACAGTAGAGCTGTCCCTGTGGTCTGAGTGTGGGTAAGTCAGATGCGAGGGCATGAAAGCGGGAGAACCGGCCTCTCTACATTCTGCCCACTGCATTGTGTGAACTAGCTGGGGTGTGCTGGAGAGTTTGCCTGGGTAGTGAAGACGAAGGAAAGCTGGCAGCTTGACCAACCCAGCTTCCCCCAGGCCCAGAACCAGGGCTATGAGTTATCCCATCCTAATATCCTCTATGAAGTGCTGGAGCATGTGAAGCGCCCAATTCTGCAGATCCAAAGCTGCAGGATCTCCATGACACAAGGTGTTCATAGGATATCAAGAGGAGTAAAGTGAATGTCAATTATCTATAGTGTAGAGAAGCCAGAGAGGCCCAGAACACTTACAAGGAAAGATGCATGGACTAAAAGGTATACTGTGTGACTACTGGGCCATACTACATCTTCCTTGACAAGATTTTTTTTTGTTTGTTTTTAATTTGGGGTTTTTGGTTTTTCTTTTAAATTTTGTTGTGTTTTGGGGAGGGGGTTTCAAAGGCAGAGCTCAGATATGAAGGAATGGGTAGGAGGAAGAGTGGAATTGGGATGCATGATATGAAACCAACAGAGAATCAATAAAATGTTTAAAATAAAAATGAAATTAGAAAAATCAAAGCTATATGTCTCTGGTTTTCTTGAAATATAGCATCAGTGATAACCAGACAGCAGACAGAACGCATTCCAAGATATGTTTGGACATTTTTTGGTGTTTTTGCGTTAACAATGCACTGGTGCAATTTTTAAAAAGATTTATTTCTTTTATTTATATCTATGTGTGTTCTGCCTGCTGCAAGGCTGTATATCACATGCATGCAACTCCACCAGTGGCCAGAAGAGGTCATTAGATTCCACCAGAAATGAGTTAAAGAGGCTTTTCAGCTGCTCTGTTGGTCCTTTGGGAGAAAAACTACTCAAAATGGAGAAGCCATCTCTCCGGGCCCTGCACTTAACCTTTGTCCTTCTAGTCATGTGTACTGTATTAGTTCAACTGAATCATCCCCAAGCAAAGAGAAATTCCAGGAGAAGAGTAGGGACAAAAACATGATGTAGGCATGCTAGTTTTCATAGGATGCCATGCATCCATGCAAGATGTCCGTGGGTTCAAGATCCTGCTCCAGCATCGCTTATTGTCAGGGTTGGAGCAGATCTCTTACATCTCATCCTGGATGACAGTGCAGATTAGGGCCTTCAGATGAATGCAGAATTCAGAGCACCCTCCTGGTGGTGGAAGTTAGGAGTCCCTCTTGATCCTCCAGCTAAGCGTTGGGAGGAAGCTTCAGACTAGCCCGAGTGGCTGGAGCCTGCAGCAAAAGCCATGTGCCTCTGATGGAGAGCATGTCTGTGCAAGGCTAGGAAGGGAGAGGGATGGTTGATGCTGCTCTTTAGCCGCAGCAGATCTCATTGTGTACTGAGGAAGGGTTTCTTCAGGATGACTGCTTTATGCCCGTGAAGCTCCCCTGGACCGGATGTGACTTCTGAGACTGACAGTGAGTGAGAGAGTTAATGTGTGGAGGAAGTAATCCTGTGGGTCCCCAACAGGTGCTGTCAAAGCAGGGGAAAATCATCCACTCTTCATGAATGAAGCACATAGATACATTCAGGACATTAATATAGACATAGAGCTCATTCAATTCCATGGATGATATGATCATCCAGAGAGACGGCTCAGGGGGCAAAGGTACCTGCTGCCCGGTTTACATGCCCAAGTTCCTTCCCTGCCCTGTAACTCACATGATTGAAGTAGAGAACAAACCTCGGACAAATTGTCCTCTGATCTTCATGTGGGTGTGGATGACAGGTCATCACCATGAAAGCTGAGACATCTGGCTTGCTTTCTCTTCCTCACTTACCTAGAATCTCTCCATCTGATGCACTCATGTAATTACATCACTCTGCATTCCATCTGAGAGGTTTGTGACCTTTTCTATCTTTCTTTTGTTGCCGAGATGTTATAGGAACCAAGAAGGCCAAAACCAAAGCATCACCTGAAGGACAGGTTAAGGGAAGGTGGCCATTGGGATGTGTAACATAGCTGAGACTTAATC